ATACTTGTAAAGGTGTGTGATGCACATTTTTGTGTTTTCTTTTTGGTTAATTTGTTTTATCATTTTAACAGTGTAAGGCTATGTTAGATTGGGGTTATGATAGATAAGTATACTGTATCAATATATTTATATACTTATGTATCTATCTTATATATGTGTATGAGCGAGTGTTTATGTATATGTATTACAGGTGTGTGTGTGTGTGTGTGTGTGTGTGTGTGTGTGTGTGTGTGTGTGTGTGTGTGTGTGTGTGTGTGTGTGTGTGTGTGTGTGTGTGTGTGTGTGTACATATATATATATATATATATATATATATATATATATATTATATATATATATATATGAATTATATATATATACATATGCACAGGCATACATGAACACATGTATATAGATAGATAGATAGGTTGACATATACAATCTGTATACGCCCAACGGGAAACAGTCATGAAAAAACACACAGCCTGGTGACAATGACGGTTGCCTGTGGTTGGTTTTAATTGGAGGTGATGACGGCCATGTGCGTCCCAATCGGCCCTGACCGTTACTTACCAGGAAACAGGACCCCGCCCCAGGTCACCGCCCCCCGCCCCCCGCCCCGCCCACCCAAAGAAACGACCCCTGGTTTTCTCTCTCCTTATGATTGCTTCCTCAATGATGGCTGGTGATGTTCAAGTGCATGCACGCACATTTTTTAGCTTTGCATGCTTAGATACACGCACATCCACATCTCTCCGAGCACGCAAGCACGTACACAGACGCGTTTATATATACACAGGGAGAAGCATACACACACAAACAAACGGACACGAGGGAAGTAAAGGAAGAATAGAATTGAAAATCCATGAATAAACAAAGAAAGAATAAAAAAAAAATCGTGGAAAGGACAAACTAAATAGTTTATATAAAAAAATTGGCCGAGTGATTATTCTCGACTCAACCATCGCACTCAAATTCGTCCTCGATTTTCTCACTGTCGTTTTCTGTTTCCTGTTGGATGAGAAAAAGAGGAGGTGGGGTGAGTAGGGGGGGAGGGGGTGGAGATAGAGGAGAAGAGAGGGAAGGAATGAGGGAGGAACGGAGAGCGAGAGGGAGAGGGAGGAACGGAGAGGGACAGGGACAGGGACAGGGACAGGGAGGGAGAGAGAGAGAGAGAGATAGAGACACGTACATACACATACAGGGAAGCAAAGACAATCCCCAGAAAATATAGACTGATAGATAGATAGACGGAAGGAGGGACATAGACAGCTAGACAGACAAATGGGTGGTGAAAGGGAAGGTGATATTAATTCTTTATTGCAGCGCCATCTTGCTCTACCTCCAGCTCTCTTGCCACAGATATTTTCTCCTTCCATGAGGTGGAAATATAAATCAGACAGACACAGGAAGCGTTATTCGATCGATATGTACATGTCACACGAATTGGTAGTTACGTTGAGTCCTCCTGTATCGATAAACACTGATTTTTCAACCTCGGTCTGCCGAAAATTGTCTATTGTGTCATGCAGCATCTATCGTGAATTGCATCAGTAACTTATATGAGTGGATTTTTGCGGTTTGTGAAACTAACACTTATGTCGCATCTTTGTGTATATGTGTATGTAAATGTGCATGCATGAAAGACTGGGTGTGCATACATGCAATTCTTCATTTCATATGCCTCGTTTGTGTGTGTGTGCGTTTGTGTTTATGTGTGTCTGTTTGTGTGTGTGTGTGTTTACTGGTATGTGCGTTTGTGTGTGTGTTTATTGGTATGTGCGTTTGTGTGTGTTTATTGGTATGTGCGTTTGTGTGTGTGTGTTTATTGGTATGTGCGTTTGTGTGTGTGTTTATTGGTTTGTGCGTTTGAGTGTGTGTTTATTGGTATGTGGGTTTGTGCGTGTTTGTGTATGTATGTTTTGTGTGTGAGTGAGAGTGTGTACGTGTGTGTGTATGTATGTATGTATGTATGTTAGTGTGTGCGCTCGGCCGCTGACTGTCAGCTAGAAAGGTAGGATGCAAGCTTTAACTAGATAATAGCTGTGAATCAATCTATGTCTGTGATTCTGTGCGTCCCATTGTAATTGTGTGGCATTACGTGCGCTGGCTTTATTGCATATCATTAGCGGGCCTGGAGACTGTTTTGCCTGTTTCCGAAAATCGTGTCTGCGAGACGAGAATAAACGAGAAATGGCGTGATTATCCGTGTGTTTGTGTGTGTCTCCTGGGCCGCTTGTTTCCTTGTCTCGGTGGTCTTTCTTTCTCCGTTGGGGTCTGGATCTTTCTTGAGTTCTGGGTCTTATTTCCTTTTGCTACTCTTCTTTCTCTCTCCTACTTCTTCTTCCTCCTCCTCCTCTGTCTTCCTCCTACTTCTTCTTACTATTTCTCCTTTTTTCTTCTTTTATTACTACTTTTTCTTCTATATCTTCCTAGCTTCCTTCCCCTGCTTCTCTTCCACACACCCTCCTCCTTACTCCACCTCGTCCTTTTCCCTTTCTTTCCCCCTTCTCTCCTCACCCTTCTCTTCGTCATCCTTACCTTCCTTCTCTCCCCCTTTTCCCTCTTCCTCCTCCTCCTCCTCCTCCTCCATGCAATCCCGTCCCCTCTTCATCCTCTTCTTTTCCCTCTCCTCCTCCTTCTTCTTTTTCTTCTTTCTCTTCTTCTTCTTCTTCTTCTTCCTCTTCCTCATCCTCATCCTCTTCCTCTTCTCACCCTTACCTTTCCCCCCCCCCTTACCCTCTGACCATCCATCTTTCCCTCTCTCCCTCCTCCTCCTCCTCCTCCTCCTCCTCCTCACCCTTATCTTTCTCCTCCCCTTCCTCTTGCTTCTCTTCCTTCCCTCCTCTTCATGTGATTGATAAATATGAGTTAATCCAATGCTAGTAGAGAATCACAGGTGTTGTTTCCACCGGTTTTAAATAAGGTATTCTCACGCGGTACGCAAGCCAACAACAGGTGTTCAGAGAGGGTTGTTCTCCCTCGGACTAAATGAAGGTTGTTGTGTGGTTTCGAAACTCGTAGGATGGTGTCGAGGCAGTAAGTGAGATGGGAATTAGTGTTGAAATGGGGAAAATGGATAGACGGTTGTGGCTCTTGTGACGTATGAAGGAGGGTATGGCTATGTGTGAATGAGGTTTTAAAATGAAATAGGCTTTGGGTTGTGTTATGAAATATTAACGGGTTTATGATGCCAAGGCTAAAACTATTGTCATTTTTACATTTTTTTTTCTTTTCTTTTTTTTGGTATCGGTTTGCGTGTATCTGCTCACCCGCCCATCCACGAACCCTCACAAAAGCACATCCAAACACACTCAGAACTCGAGTCACAAAAAGCATAAATCAAGCACACACACACGTTTTATGCGGCTCTCTTTTCTTCTCTCCTCTCTGTCACTCACCATAACCTACACGCCCGTAAACCTGCGCACACGCACACACACATACATACACACACACACACACACACACACACACACACACACACACACACACGCACACACACACACACACACACACACACACACACACACACACACACACACATACACACACACACACACACACACACACACCACACACACACACACACACACACACACACACACACACACACACATACACACACACACACAGAACCCCCCAAACACACACACACACGCATAGAACCCCTCAAACACACACACACAGAACCCCTCAAACATATACACACACACACACACTCTCCACGCACACGCACGCACACAAATCATGTATCGCGATTTAGTGGGTGAAAAATCTGAACGGAGATGAGCACGTTGGCGCCTGTGGTTTAAGACTCCCCGTGCTCAGAGCATGCTTGCGGGCGTCTGCACTGTGTCGCACGTGGTAATGCGTGGCCAGGACGTGATGGCCCGTGAAGGAGCCACGGGGGAGGCAGGCGTGATGGTCGAGGAGGGAGGGAGGGAAGGAAGGAGGGGGGGAGGGAGGGAGGGAGTGGTTGAATGAAGAAGAAGGAGAAACGAGCTAGAGGGAGGGGGCATCTGAGTGGAATGTGTGTGTGGGTATACGCACATACACATTATCGCGCGTGCACACACACACACATACACACATGTATGTGTGTATATATATGTATGTATGTATAAATATATGTATTCATACATACAGACATACATATGGCAAATAGTTGAATTTCATCAAACCTAATATAATATAAAAATGTTAGTACATAATTCTTAAGATTAGAAAATTGAAATCTTACTATTACAGTGACGAAGCGTCTGCGTGCATGTGTATGCCTGCTTAAGTGTCTGTGTTCGTGAGAGAGGAATAGACAGACAGACAGAAACCGAGACCAACACAAACACACACACTTATCGAAATACAGACAGACAAACCGATAGACAGAGAGGGAAAGCGAAAGACAGAGAACGAATGTGTATAACTGTATGTATCCGTCTCTCTACGGATGTGTCAGTGCCTGTGTCTCATGCGTGTATGTGTCTGGCAAGCGTAAGTGTCCTCGCCTGTGATTAAGGTCAAGGAGGGGGGGGAGGGGGGGGCAACCCATAGCGTCTCAAGGATTAGGAGTGGAAGCGGCGACGTGTCAGATATAAATTACACTTCGTCTTCTTTTATTACGAAGTAATTATAAGTAACGAGTGGGCATCACAGGAGGGGCACTCGGCACTCACTCGCGGCTGTTGTACTTAAGCCACAGGGAGAGAGGGCATGGGGGGTCGAGGAGGGGGTGGAAGGGGGCTCGTACTAGAGAGTGGGTATTAATTTTGGTATTTGTACCATCGCCACTGATCAGCTGGGGGCCGCCCCGTGGGGAGATGGGGCGGGTATCCAGGTGCATACATTTGTATTTATTTATGTACAGTATTTACCAGTCTGTTCACGTACATATACTGTATCAACCTATTGTCTGTCAATTTGCCTGTACATATATTTATGTGGTCAAGTCTAAATTTTTGATAAACGCATAAACAGTGTACATATATATATATATATATATATATATATATATATATATATATATATATATATATATATATATATATATATATATACATACATATATATATATATATATATATATATATATATATATATATATATATATATATATATATATATACATATACACACACACACACACACACACACACACACACACACACACACACACACACACACACACACACACACACACACACACATATATATATATTGTGTGCGTATGTGACTGTACTTTTGTGCTGCCGTGTATTTAACGCTTTTTTCGAGTACAATAATACCTGTGTTGCAATTTTAGAAGATGATTCATCGTTGATGAACTCGCGTATTACTCATTTGGTCAAAGAAATGGCGGTGTACATCTTCCACGAAGGAACTCGTGTGTTGCCATTCTTCGTTCTATTCATGGAGGCTCAACTTCTGAAGATGATGAAACAGCATGAATCAGCGAGCATGTAAGCACGCCAGGGTCTCCTCTCCCCTCCCTACTTCCCCCCCTCCTTCCCTTCTCCCCTCTCTTTCCTCCTTCCTTCCCTTTTCCTTCTCCCTTCCCTCCTGTCTGCCTTATCCCTTCTCTCTCGCCTCCTCTTTGCACCCGTATCTTCCTTCCCTCCCTTCCCTCTCCTCCCCGTCTTCTTATCTCCTCCCTCTCTTCCCGTTTCTCTCTTTCTCTTTCCCTTCCTTACCTTCTCCCCTTCCCTTCCCATTCCCTTTCCTCTTCCTCTTCCTCTTTCCACCCCACCCCCCCTTTCCTCCCTTCTCCTTTACACTCGAACGAATCATCTTTTCTGATTGTTATAATTTTCTTCCTTTTCCTCTTTTTTTCCTTTGTCTTTCTTATTTCCTTCCTTTTTTCTTCTTCTCCCTTTTCTTCTTCTCCTCCCCCTCCTCCTTCTCCTTCCCCTCCTTCTTCATCTTTTTCTCCTCCTCCTCCTTCTTCTTCTACTTCTACTTCTTCTTCTTCTTCTTCTTCTTCTTCTTCTTCTTCTTCTTATCCTCTACCTCCTCTTTCATCTCTTTCTCTTTCTTCCTCTTCTATTCCTCTATCTCCTCCTTTATATTTATTCTTTCTTTCTCTCCTTCTCCAACTCCTTAAGATTTACGATAGTAGTAGACGTAAATTTTAAGCGCTGAAGGAGATTCATAGGAGGACTGAATAATTGAAGTGAACAGGTGAACAAGGTTATCGTTCCAGCCAAGTAGATGATGTTGAACATCGACCAGGATACACTACGAGTTGATTGTGTTTTTTTTCTGTGTCTCTGTCTGGGTACTTTTATGTTATGTGTACGTGTTATGTGTATCATTGTTAGTACTGTATGTGTTGCGTGTGGGTGCCTTTGTTATGTTGTGTGTACGTGTCATGTATGTCTCTGTGAGTACTGAATCTCTTGCCTGTGTGCGTTTGTGCATTACGGTAGGCCGGAACATGTCACCGAAGAACATTGTTGAGGCTGCTTCAAGGGAGCATTCTACGTTTCTAATATAAAAGAAATAGTTCAATGGAAAATATATGTACATATATATATATGTATATATATATATATATATATATATATATATATATATATATATATATATATATATATATATGCACACACACATACACACACACACACACACACACACACACACACACACACACACACACACACACACACACACACACACACATATATATATATATATATATATATATATATATATATATATATATATATATATATATATATATATATATATATATGCAAATATGTGTGTGTGTGTGTACATTTGACGACACGATATATTGTTGTCAAGAAACAATAAAAAATAAATAATACAAAAGAAATCAAGAATTGGTATCGAGCACAATCGAAGATGAATGTTATTTGTTACCAGCTACCCATTTAAATGTGTATACACATGCTTCCACAAAAAATAAAGAGGAATAAGAATAGAAGAAAAAGGACGTGCGGTACGCACGCGCGCGCACACATACGCACAGAGAGAGAGAGAAAGAGAGAGAGAGAGAGAGAGAGAGAGAGAGAGAGAGAGAGAGAGAGAGAGAGAGAGAGAGAGAGAGAGAGAGAGAGACCTGATAAACTTGAATTAGAAGAAATGTTCACAGTATCTAATGTCCTAGACATTATTATGATAGGAAAACATTTTCATCCGTCGTGAAATAAAGATATTATCAACCGTTCCTAATTATCAGCCACAATACAGAAACGGACCTACCTCTTTAACAGAATAGAAAAACATTTAAAAACCTTCCCGCAATACCTGCATGTGACAGGCCGTTTAGTGCAGGAGCGCGTTGCATAATGAATTAAATAGAAAGGGATAGACGCAACACCTTCTTCACGTCAATCAACACCCACTCCTCCTGTCACACGCTCGTTATTTCCGGGTCGAGAACAGGGGCCGAGGGGGAGACAGTCGCGCAAGCAAGCAAGGGCGGCGGACGCGTGAAATGTAGAGGTGAAATGTATTGGAGAGTGGGAGGGGAGGGAGGGAGATGAGGCATGAAGGGAGGAAGGAGGAGGGGTGTGAAGGGGAAGGGAGGAGGGAGAGTGGGTGTGAAGGGGAAGGAAGGAGGGAGAGTGGAAGAGAAGTGGGATGGGAGGGAAGGAGGGAGGGAGTGAAGAAAGGGGAAGGAAGGGAGGGGAGGGGAGGGAGGGAGGGAAATGAGATGGAGCAAGAGAGAGTAATAAGCACTAGGGATATTTATTTACAGATTTTCTTTATTATAACTATAATGGTAATAATGATAGTGATATTGATAACAATGATGATAATAGAAAAAATATTATTGTTATGATTGTTATTTTATTATTACTGTTATTACTATTATTATTACTGATATTTTTTCTTTCTTTCTTTCTTTGAATAAAGAAGTTGCACAAGGAATCAAGCAGAAATGTCATCGTATTTTTTGTCTTTATAAGAAGAAAAAATAAAAGATTAAGGAAAATTACGTAAATAAAAGACAAAAAGATAACACAGGGTGTAGTGCACTGAAGCTTCGGTGTTATGTGTTACACTGCTAGCTTACTTTTGCAATATGCGTGCAATATGGATATAGTTAGGGCGGGGTATGTCAGTGTTGATGTTCATAAGACCTGATTCGTATTAAGCAATGGATTTTCGATGTGCTTGAAGTATATATGATATGTGTAATAAATGCAAATGGTGTGATGTATGTTAGAGTTCATGATGCGTCATACTTGGAAGAAGTGATGGTTTTATCAGTTCAACGGATGATGTGATTATATGTTGTTATGAAGTATACACCTGGATGCGTGAGTTTTTTTGTTTTTTTTTTTGTGTGTGTGTGAGGGGAAGAAAGCGGGGAAGGGGGAAGGAGAGGGACACACACACACACACACACACACACACACACACACACACACACACACACACACACACACACACACACACACACTACCACAGACAATAAACAAACACACACACACGCAGAACAAGAGAAGAAGGGGCAAACGGACGACAGAGAGAGAGAGAGAGAGAGAGAGAGAGAGAGAGAGAGAGAGAGAGAGAGAGACCCTAACCACCGGTCATTCGGCGCCTACGCGAAAATTCAAGGCCTCTCAAACAGCTTCAGCGGACTAACGATCGATTCCCCTTTGCACCTGAGGAATAAATACTGACCTTTCGGTGTTTCTGCGATAGATATACTCTCCTTCCCCCCCCTCCCCCATTCTGTTTCTTCTTCCTACCCCCCCCCCAGTACACTATCCATTCCCCGCCCTCTATCTGTTTCTCTCCCCCACCCCCCATCTTTTTCTTCTTCTCCCGCCCCATGTATTTCTTACCAAACCTCTTTATTTCTCTCCTCTTGCCCCTTCTCCCCTCCCCCTGCCCCCTCTATTTCTCCTCCTCATGACGCAATAACACATGTAGTCAGCTTTCAACTTTTAATGTTTCCTGTTATTTTCATGTATAATATTTTACGATCTCGAGTTGGGAATTTGTGTGTATGCACACACACACACACACACGCACACACACACACACACACACACACACACACACACACACACACACACACACACACACACACACACACACACACACACACACGCATGTGTATTTATTTGTGTATGTATGTATGCATATATATATTTATACATACATCCACGCATACATATATATATATATATATATATATATATATATATATATATATATATATATATATATATATACATATACATATATATATATATATATATATATATATATATATATATATATATATATATATATATATATATATATATATATATATATATGCATGTAAGAGAATACAAACATACTTGTGTATATGTAGATACACATAACACACATAAATGCACTTCCAAATATTTCCCCGTCATTGTCTAGTTCTCGGACGATCGGAGTTTACAACTTTATGGAAAATTGGACGTTGGTTTTCGAGACGATTCCCCGGATGTGAAAATGTCGTGTCGGAAAGAGGTCGTTGTAGCGGGGTCGAAGATGAGCCTCTAATTCCCGATCGGCCAGGGCGCGCCGGCCCGATTTTTTTTTTCTTTTTTTTTCCTTTTCGGCCGATTTTGGGCACGGCGATGTCCAGGCACCTTATCATTTATGAAGAGTTTGTTTTTGTATGTAAAGGAACACATATCGACACGCACGCACACATACACACACGCACGTACACGCACTTTTTCCTTCTTTTTAAAATATTTTTTTCCTGTTTATCTACATCTGTACAGTTCACGATTTCTCCCTTTCATCGTTTTCTTTACAATTTCTCGTTTTTAAGGTTGTAATAAGGAGGAATTCCTTTATTCATTTTCTTTTATGTATTAAAAGAAAGGGAATTACAGAAATTACTGGAAAAAAATACACGAGAAATGAAAGAGCAGTCTAAAATGCAAGTTGAGGTCCGTAGTTGCAGAATCCATTATGGCAAGTCGCTGGTCGTTGCTCGGTCGTCCAATAGCGGTTGTCGTGCCTGTCCCCTTTTGTGGTCGTCGGTCGTGTTGTGACTCATGTCTGGTCACTCTCCCTTTACTCTTTCTCTCTCTCTTTCTCTCTCTATCTTTCTCTCTCTCTCTCTCTCTCTCTCTCTCTCTCTCTCTCTCTCTCTCTCTCTCTCTCTCTCTCTCCTCCCTTCCCCCCCTCCTACTCCCCGGCCACCCCCTACCTCTCCTCTCCCTTAGCCACCCCTCTTTCCTCCCTGGGCACCCCTCCTCCCCCCTCCAATCTTTGTTGGTCGTATTGATTGGTCCCGCGAAAGTGCCGGATTCCATATAAATGGCCACTAAATTGAAAATAAACAATTCGGGAATACGCGGCGAAGGAACTCCTTAAGCCATTTGAAAGGGTGGTTTTCTGGTGGGCGGAATAGGCGATAGTTTCATAATACAATGCTTTTATGGCGGCGGCCTCCCTTGCAAGCCTCTTGGGTCCCTCCCTTAAGTTCGGGGTTCCCTTGGGTGGGGGGAGGGGGGAGGGGGGGAGAGAGGGAAGGGGAAGGGGGGTTAGAGGGCGAAGGGAAAGGGGGTAGGTGGTGGAGGGGGGAGTATGGGTGGGGGAGGGTTGAAATGGCGATAGAATGAAGGAGTAAGTAGGGGAGGGAGAGAAAGAAAGAGAGGAAAGGAAGATGAGAGATAAAGGGAGAGAGGGTCAAGAAGGGAGGGAGGGAGAAAGGGAGGAAGGGAGAAAGGGAGGGAGGGAGAAAGGGAGGGAGGGCAGGGAGGGTGTTGCTGGATGACAATAAACACACTCGGGTTTATGACCGGCGTTTTCAACCGCTCTCGACGGGGTTTGTCTGCCAGGTTTCCAACTTTCAAAAGTAAGGGGAATCAATACTCAATTCAAATAAAGTGTCGAGGAATTTTCAATTTCATTTCTGAGCCTTGGTAAATACTCCCCACCCCTCCCCCCCTTCACCTCCCTTCCCCCCCTCCTACTCCCCGGCCACCCCCCTACCTCTCCTCTCCCTTAGCCTCCTCCCCCCTCCAATCTTTGTTGGTCGTATTGATTGGTCCCGCGAAAGTGCCGGATTCCATATAAATGGCCACTAAATTGAAAATAAACAATTCGGGAATACGCGGCGAAGGAACTCCTTAAGCCATTTGAAAGGGTGGTTTTCTGGTGGGCGGAATAGGCGATAGTTTCATAATACAATGCTTTTATGGCTCGGCTCCCTTGCAAGCCTCTTGGGTCCCTCCCTTAAGTTCGGGGTTCCCTTGGGTGGGGGGAGGGGGGAGGGGGGGAGAGAGGGAAGGGGAAGGGGGGTTAGAGGGCGAAGGGAAAGGGGGTAGGTGGTGGAGGGGGGAGTATGGGTGGGGGAGGGTTGAAATGGCGATAGAATGAAGGAGTAAGTAGGGAAGGGAGAGAAAGAAAGAGAGGAAAGGAAGATGAGAGATAAAGGGAGAGAGGGTCAAGAAGGGATGGAGGGAGAAAGGGAGGAAGGGAGAAAGGGAGGGAGGGAGAAAAGGGAGGGAGGGCAGGGAGGGTGTTGCTGGATGACAATAAACACACTCGGGTTTATGACCGGCGTTTTCAACCGCTCTCGACGGGGTTTGTCTGCCAGGTTTCCAACTTTCAAAAGTAAGGGAATCAATACTCAATTCAAATAAAGTGTCGAGGAATTTTCAATTTCATTTCTGAGCCTTGTAAATACTCCCCACCCCCTCCCCCCCCTTCTCCTCCCCTTCCCCCCCTCCTACTCCCCGGCCACCCCCTACCTCTCCTCTCCCTTAGCCACCCCTCTTTCCTCCCTGGGCACCCCTCCTCCCCCCTCCAATCTTTGTTGGTCGTATTGATTGGTCCCGCGAAAGTGCCGGATTCCATATAAATGGCCACTAAATTGAAAATAAACAATTCGGGAATACGCGGCGAAGGAACTCCTTAAGCCATTTGAAAGGGTGGTTTTCTGGTGGGCGGAATAGGCGATAGTTTCATAATACAATGCTTTTATGGCGGCGGCCTCCCTTGCAAGCCTCTTGGGTCCCTCCCTTAAGTTCGGGGTTCCCTTGGGTGGGGGGAGGGGGGAGGGGGGGAGAGAGGGAAGGGGAAGGGGGGTTAGAGGGCGAAGGGAAAGGGGGTAGGTGGTGGAGGGGGGAGTATGGGTGGGGGAGGGTTGAAATGGCGATAGAATGAAGGAGTAAGTAGGGGAGGGAGAGAAAGAAAGAGAGGAAAGGAAGATGAGAGATAAAGGGAGAGAGGGTCAAGAAGGGAGGGAGGGAGAAAGGGAGGGAGGGAGAAAGGGAGGGAGGGAGAAAGGGAGGGAGGGAGAAAGGGAGGGAGGGAGAAAGGGAGGGAGGGAGAAAGGGAGGAAGGGAGAAAGGGAGGGAGGGAGAAAGGGAGGGAGGGAGAAAGGGAGGGAGGGAGAAAGGGAGGGAGGGCAGGGAGGGTGTTGCTGGATGACAATAAACACACTCGGGTTTATGACCGGCGTTTTCAACCGCTCTCGACGGGGTTTGTCTGCCAGGTTTCCAACTTTCAAAAGTAAGGGGAATCAATACTCAATTCAAATAAAG